GGGGCTGCGCGCCCTGCATGCTAACGAAGGCGCCTCGTCAAAGCGCCTTTGTGCACCCGCAGCCCCATTGAGGCCTCTCCTCCGGGGCGCACAAAGGCGCCACTGTCCCTGTCCCCGTCCCCGTTCCGCCCCCCCCGGCTGCTTCCCCAGCTCCCCCCCAATGCGCCGCCCCACGGGACCTGCCCCACGCTGGGGACAGGGAGGGGGGCCCAGTTGCCCCCCGTATAAGGGGGGGCGGCACCTTGTTTTGGAGGGTGACAAAAGGTGGGGACACGGCCGGGAGCGCTGCCCGCGCTGGCCCTGCCACCGCGTCCCCCCCCGCCAGGCCGGACGCCTGGGCCCTGTGTGGCGGGGGGGGGGCGGGCCTGCAGGGACGGAGGCAGCTCAAGGCGGGGAAACTGAGGCACGGGGGGGCAGGGGGGTTAATGTACAACCGGCTGGCACAGGCGGCGGGTGGCAGCGGCTGTGCCCGCGGGCGCCCGGGAACAAGCAGCAGCTTGTCACAACCTGTGTCCTGGGCACGGGGACCGGCGGCGCCCGGAGGGCACGGGGCAGGTGGCACTGCCACCGAGGGTGCTGCGACCCCCGGAGGGCACAGGGACCCCCCGGAGGGGACAGGGACCCTAGAGGAGGGACGGGGACCCGCAGGGGGGTGCGGGGATGTCCCCCCGGGCGTCCTCCTGGGCTGCGGTGGCTCTGGGGACACCCAGTGGCTCCCGGGGTATGTGGTGGCTCCGCGAGCTGCAGCAGCCTTGGGGACAAGCGGCCGCTCTGGGGACACGGTGGCTCGGGGATATGCAGTGGCCCCGAGATTCACGGCAGCTCTGGGGACACCGGGTGGCTCTGGGGACTTGGTGACTACAGGGCCAGGCTGTGGCCCTGGGGACATGGGGCTCGTGGACACCAGGTGGCTCTGGGGACATGTAGAGCTCGGGGACACATGGCACAGGGGGCAGCACAGGGATGTGTTGTCCCCAGGTCCCCAGCACCTCCACAAGCGCGTGTGCCACCTGTGTCCCCATGGGGGTGGCGCGCTGGCTCCGCAAGGGACACCACGGCCAGAGCAGCGCAGGGGCCAGCGCAGGACAGGGTGTCACCTCTGTCCCTGTGTCCCTGTGTCCAGGAAACCCTGTGGGCAGCGGGGCCGGAGGTGGCACAGGTGCCAGCGGCAGAGCCACCCACGGCGCGGGGGTGCCCGGAGGCTCCGCGGAGGTGTCCCCGTGTCCCCGGCCCGCTGCCACCTCCTGCCAGCCATTGAGGCGGCTCCAAGGGCCTTTTCCGCGCCCGCCGCCGGGTTTTGTGCCGCCGGGAACGGGGCCGGGGCCGGAAAGGGGCCGGTGGCGCCGCCAGCCATTCGTCTCTGTCACCTCCCATTCACCGCGGGCAAAGCCAGGCCCGGACGCCTGGGCCCCGCTCTGAGCYCTGCCAGCCCTCCCGCCGTGGGGGGGACGGCGGCCCGGGCCGGGCGGCGCGCGGGGACAGCTGGGGACAACCCGGGGACGGGGGGAGGGTGGTGGGGACCGGGGCACCCATGGGTGCGGGGGCGATGCAGGGGTGTGCGTGGGGACGGACAGACGTCCGGCTGATCCGGACAGGAGGGAGGGACACGGGGATGGAGGGAGGAGTGCACGGATGTATAGCCATGTACCGTATATGCTATACACCATCCAGGTGTATGGATGGGGGGCTGTATGGATGGGGGGCTGTATGGATGTGTAGGTGCACAGATACAGGGCTGTATGAATGCAGGGCTGTACGAATGTATAGGTGTACAGAGGTGGAGCTGGGTGGATGTATAGGCGTATGGATGTGTAGGTGCACAGATGCAGAGCTGTGTGGATATATTGGTGTACAGATGTGGAGCTGTAGGGATGCCGGGGTGTACAGATGTGGAGCTGTGTGGATGTATAGGTGTACAGATGCGGGGTTGTATGGATGTAAGGGTGTATGGATGCAGGGGTGTACAGATATATAGGTATACAGATATATAGGATGTGGAGCTGTGTGGATGCGGAAATGGATGCAGAGCTGTATGGATGGATAGGTTTATGGATGCAGACTGTACAGGATGTACAGGATGTACACAGGACTGTATGGATGCGGGGCTATATGGATATATAGGTGTATGGATGCAGGGCTGTATGGATGTACAGGTGTATGGATGCAGGAGTGTATAGATATATAGGTTTATGGATGCAGGATGTACGGATGTATGGATATATAGGCRTATGGATATGGGGCTGTRTGGATGTACAGGTGTACATGTGGGATGCACGGATGTATGGATATAGAGGTGTATGGATGCGGGGCTATATGGATATATAGGTGTATGGATACGGGATGCACGGATGTATGGACATACAGGTGTATGGATGCGGGGCTGTATGGATGTACAGGTGTATGGATGGGGGGCTGTATGGATATAGAG